ACGCATACTTATGCGTATGTCCATATACATATGTATTAACTCGGTTCTCGATCATGAACGTTGACAAGTATCGTGTGTCTAACCAGCAGTTTAAATTTCACGTTCTCGAAGGAAGCACATGGGTCTCTACTTGCATGGTGCATAACAAACGAAGATGAATGTTATTATGCCATCGGCATCGGTCTAAGTACATGATGATGCACGAGACAAGATGTTCGTATCATATCTTTAAATTGCGTGTATCTTTTTCTCTCTCACTCTCTCTCTCTCTCTCTCTCTTTCTATCTATCTATCTCTTTCTCTTTCATCATTGCACGACAAGTTAATTAACGTTAAGTAGATAAAGTGACAGATATAAATTTTAAATGGACTGCATCGAGAGACAAACTCGCGTAAAACTCATACGACAAATTATGACATATTATACGTGTGTGTATGTTTTGTGCACATCTACATAATTCATCGTTAAATCCTCCTACACTTAACTTTTTTATTCTTTTCAAAATCTTCAGTCTTGCTATATTTAATGGACGATACATTTATATGTATACGTATATATGTAGATTAATTAATATTGACGATAAATGTGACACAAGTGATAACAAAAAGAATGGGATAAGATATTAGTCATATTTTTCGTATGCAAGATAATTAGAATTTTTTGGATTAAGAAACAAATACTCGAAGATTAATGATCGACTCTTTATTTTTATATATTTTTTGGTAATTTTTTTTTCTTTTTTTTATTTTTTTATTTTTTTTTTTTTTTTTTTTTTTTTTAATTCCGCAATTATACCGATAATAGAAATCTCTTGATTGCCGATAGAGGTAAACAATTATCTTTAAATAGAACATTTTTTTTATGTATATAAATAAATATATATATAATACAATTTCTTTCTAATATTATTATTAATTTAATATTTGTGTGTGTGTGTGTTTTTGTCTGTGATTTAAATAACAATAAATATATACAGAAGAAATAATAAACGAGACATTAACTTTGACTTGGAATATTGATGTTTTATCAAAGAACGATAACATTCGTAATGTACAATCGTACAGTCGTACAATAAGATGAAAGACAACGATGATAATTCTTCGATCCCTCGAGTGTCTCAAGTATCAAAAAATTCGCGTACTTTTTTATTACCTTGACCTCGTGTAACTTTATCTCTCTCTCTCTCTCTCTCTCTCTCTCTCTCTCTCTCTCTCTCTCTCTCTCTCTCTCTCTCTCTCTCTCTCTCTCTCTCTCTCTCTCTCTCCCTTTCTCTATCTCTATGTCCCTCTCTTTCTCTCTCTCTATCTCTTTGTCCCTCTCTTTCTCTCTCTCTCTCTCTCTTATCATCGTATTCATGAAAAAGAAAAGAAAAGATAAAAAAGCGAATGGATATCTATATTTTTTTCATGATTAAAATAAAAGTTTTTGAATCTTTTTTTATTTACAAAAGAAACATGGAATTTAATGAATAAGTAAAATGGCAGAAAGAAACATTAACGTTTGCGTACCGGAGGGTTTTGACAAAACATGATCACATAACTTTTTTAATTGCTTTAATAATTTAATTAAAACGATATACATATTATTGTAGAATAATCTTTCTTTTATTTTTCTGCCTGAGTTAACATTTTTTCTTTCTTTCTTTCTTTTGTTTTATTTTTTTCTGATTATTTCTTATTTATTACATTCGAAAGTAATCATACATAAATATAACATCAATTTTTTTTATCTCTACAATAACATTATGTAATGTAAAAAATTCTACTTATACTTAACGAAGTATAACATACTTATATAAATTATAAAAAAAAAAAAAAAACATACTAAAAAGTCTTCGATTATAAAGTAACAATTGATATTGTTAACAATTGAGATAAAATATAAAAGGGCAAGAGAAAAATATAATTTGTAGAGAGTTAAAATTAAAATTTTAATTGAGATTTAAATAATTTTCGCATTTCAAATATTATTTTGTTTTTCTATCTTAGAACTATTAATTTAAAACGTTTAATATTAAAATGCTGTATTATACACCTCGTTATTCTTGTATTATCCATTTACTTAACATACGTATTTTATATCGATCGAATCTAATGTAGTGTTACTTGTTAGTAACGTACATGCATACATATATAATGTATAAATACAATGTAATGGAATATGTGCGTGTAATGTTATATGAAAGGATCGCACGTAAGATAACTGGAATGTGTCGTCATACTATTTGCAACGAACGATCCAATCCTCCATGACCATTTTGTCGTTGACACTGATCTCTCTCTCTCTCTCTCTCTCTCTCTCTCTCTCTCTCTCTCTCTCTCTCTCTCTCTCTCTCTCTCTCTCTCTCTCTCTCTCTCTCTCTCTCTCTCTCTCTCTCTCTCTCTCTCTCTCTCTCTCTCTCTCTCTCTCTCTCTCTCTCTCTCTCTCTCTCTCTCTCTCTCTCTCTCTCTCTCTCTCTCTCTCTCTCTCTCTCTCTCTCTCTCTCTCTCTCTCTCCCTGTCTCTGTCTCTCTGTCTTTCTTTCTCTTTCTCTTTCTTTCTCTTGTTCTTCACACGATGATCTGTGGTTATCCTTGCAAAGATAAAAATGGAACACGATCAGAATATCATTTATTCTTATTGATATTAAACTATAAGAAATTGCAGTATTGAACAAACATTTCTTTTCTTTTCCATATTTTTTTTTTTTCTTTTTTTTATAACAATATTCCATAACACATCACTTTAATATATTCAATATGTTTTACGTTATCTCTCTCATTCTCTCTCTCTCTCTCTCTCTTTCTCTTTCTCTCTCTCTCTCTCTCTCTCTCTCTCTCTCTCTCTCTCTTTCTCTCTCTCTCTCTCTTTCATACGATAATCTTTCGTTATCTTTGCAAAAATGAAATTTAAATATTGAATGATCATTTTTGTTTCCTTTTTTATTCTTTTTTATTTTCTATAATAACGTTAATATTATATCGCTCTAATATATACTTTTGTTCTTTTTAAAGAATATTATTTAAAAAGACGAATGAGTTAATGATCAAGAGTAGAAAACAATTAAAAATAGAAAAAGAAAAAGAAAAAAGAATTGAATCGTTTTGTTCTCTCAAAAAAGAGAAAAAGGAAACAAAATTGTTCGAAACGGAAAATATTTTACTTAGGTCACTTATCATATTTAATGTGTTTTCTTTAATGAAAAAGAAAAAAGAAGAAAACAACTGGTCTTCGATCTAACATTGAACAAGGTCAACGTACAACCGTTGATATCGAAATGACCTATTGCAATAAATTCTTGATAATTAAAACGCAAAATAATAGTAAGCAATAACAATTTTCATGATAACAATAACGACGAATAAATCCATTTAAATAACGTTCATAAAATCACGGTATGGTAATCTATTTAATTAAATATACATGACACTATAAAAGAAAAGTCTCGATTATGATGTAAATTTTTATAATACGTTAAAATGAATATGCAAAGCCTCTTACGACATCATTTCATTTTTTTTTCCTTTTCTTTTTATCCTAATCGTAACGCAATATGTATTAAGATGGTTTTATTATCAGTTTGTTATATGAACTCGAATCGCCAGCTGTATATACATATTATATTATATGCAATACAATGCACCTAGCGATTCGAAACTATGAATAAGCTAAAAAACATGATCCACAATGAAATGACAATAAATATTACTCGGGAAAATGATACTTCTATCTTATTTTATTTTCTTTTTTTTTTATTAATATATCATATAAATCGACTTATTTATGTTTGATTTATTTATTTATTTTAATTAAGAGAAAGATTATTATATTAAATACTTTTACAAAGAAAATTTTCTTAATCTAGAAATTCTTAATTAGATCAACCTTATTTCGTGAGTATTTTTTATTAGATAAATAATTGTAAGAGATGAAAAAGATTTATTTATTTTTTATTTTTTACTTCTTCTCTCTCTCTCTCTCTCACACACACACATACATATGTATATACATATAATATATAAAAATCTCTCAAGCTGTGGAAGAGAAAATACGTATGTACATTCATAAATATGTATTTATATATGTGTGTATATATATATATATATATATATATATATATATATATGTATATATATATATAGTCTTATAAGATCATTAATACCATCAATTTACTCAAGAAATTTATTCACATTGTACATATATATTTATTTTTATGAATATTCACCCCCCTCCCCCAGCTTATCATACGTTCTTGTAAATAAATGTTCTTTTTGTTAATTATCATCTAAGAAAATATCGTTTTAATCACAGCATCCTAAAAATTTGCACATTTTTCATTATTATGAAACATTTTGGACCGTTACATTAACACGGAACTTTTTTTTATATTGTCATACAAACAACTGTAACTAGAACAACAAAAAGAAGAACACACGATATTTGGATTCCTAGCCATATAGGTGTTTATAGCTATGTTTAGATTTAGATTAGGATTAGATATCATCGATATCATCATGTAATTTTTGAAAGATCAATAGTTTAATCGAGTACATAGTCAAGAATTAAAACTTTTATAATGATTAATTATATACCTTTTCTCTTGTATAAAAAAAAGGAAGAATATACACATTTCTCGTTAAAAATTTTTCCATAAAAAAAAAATATTTTTTATATTTCATATAAAAAAAAAAAAAAAGAAAAAGAAAAAATAAATAATGTCGATGCATTCGTAAAAATTTTATTCAATTATTATAAGATAAAAATATAATCGTATAATCAAGAATTGATCGAGTGAAAAAAATTTTTTGGGATATTCTCATTAATTATTTTCATATGAATGTAAATAAAAACAAATAAATAAAAATTCGATAATGTACTCGATAAAGATGACTCTGATCATTCTTGGTGTTATCAAATTTCCATAATAAAAGCATATTGTACTTTATCAATCATTCATATTTTTAGATTCTCGTATTTATGCGATGATATCCAATATGATATTTATTTTCAATTTCGTATAGGTGTTGTCTATGAGCGAGGAGCTTAGAAGAGCTCTATATGCAAATAGCGCAGTTTCATTGGACAACGACATAATTGTACCAGATCTTGTTGGTACAACGGAGATTCTCAGCGACGAACACAGAGAGCACTTATGCAGGCATTTACCAGCGAGAGCGGAAGGCTACTTTTGGACGTTGGTATTCAGTACGAGCCAACATGGCTTTAGTTTGAACAGTATGTACAGAAAAATGGGCAAAATTGAGAGCCCAATTCTGCTCGTTATCGAGGACACCGAGGGTAACGTAAGTGTCATTTAATTTTTATTTTTTATTATTTATTTATTTATTTATTTATTAATTTTATATTATTTATTAATTTATAAATTTTATTAAAAATTTGATCAGATTTACAAAAAAATCAAATTAAGTTTCTCATCAGTAATTGTGATTATTGCAAAATTGATCCAAATTATATATTTTTATTTGTACTTTTTTATTAATTCGAATTATAAAACGTACTAAATAAATAAAATTTACAAAGGGTGATCGGTTATTGATATATGCACATAAACACAATATTAAACTTTTTGATAGAGTTAATATTACAACTGTCAAAAGTTGAGATCTTTTTTTATTCTCACATTTTATATATATATATATTATACATAAACTCAACAGGTGATAATAATTAATGTTACAGGTGTTCGGAGCATTGACTTCGTGTGCTCTACACGTGAGCGATCACTTCTATGGTACCGGCGAGTCCTTACTCTTTAGGTTCACACCAAGGTTCCAAGCTTTCAATTGGACCGGTGATAATCTTTACTTCATCAAAGGCAACAATGAGAGCCTTGCCATAGGTGCTGGAGAGTAAGTTTTTCTTATGCTTAAATAAAAAAAAATGTACATTATATATTATAAAATATATATTATGTGTTTATATATATATATATATATATATATATATATATATATATATTAACTGAGAGAATTTAATTTATATTTATATTTATTGTATCTATAAAATCAATATGAGCCAATATAGCTTCAATCAGAAAAATATTGTACAAAAAAATGGGCAAAATTAATAGCTCGGTTATAGCTCATTATCAAATATAATTAATTTATATCTATATTATCTTATATTTATTATATATTATATAATTGTTAATTTAATTTAAATATTTATATATAATATATTATATGATATACATATGATTAATATAATATATAATTATATTATAATGTCACAATTATGATAAAAAAATTATAATATAATTAAAATGTAATTATATGTATATATGTATATAATTAAATTAATATTATATATATATTATACAAATATCATATAACACAAGTATTTATAAATATTTATATATATATATATATATATATATTCGTATTATATACGAATACTTATATTATGATACGTAAAAGAAGAAAAAAGTATAAATGAAAAAGGATAAACAAATTCACATTGAATATTATTTGTAGTGGTAAATTTGGCCTCTGGCTTGACGGTGATCTCTATCAAGGAAGGACGCAAACATGTAGAACGTATGGGAATGAGCCATTGGCGCCACATGAAGACTTCGTAGTTAAAACACTGGAATGTTGGGCGTTTATATAGGATTCGGCCTCATATTATTCATCCGCTACCTTGCCCCTCACACCGCAGCCTAATTTGACCTGAATCTAACTATCTCTCTCCACCAGTGATATCCAAATCTCTAAGGAGAGATCATAAAGAAGAGGACACGATAAATAAATGAAGAATTAATTTTTTGAAGGAAAATAATAACAATATAAAATAAAATAAACAACAATACCAACAAAACAACAACAACAACAATAACAATAACAACAAAGAGACCATACTTTTGCCCGAAGAGATTAAAATATTGATAATCTTTGATTGTCGTTAACTCAAATACACATAGTCGAGAGTAATTTAACAAAGGAAACAAACCAATAATAATAATAATAATAATTAACAAACAAGTATATAAGAAAAAGAGAGAGAGAGAGAGTAGAAAGGAAATATAATAAATATATTGAGTTCGATCGATGGATTAAGAAATCCGCGTGTCTTCTTTGAAAATTCAAAGGATCCTTGTAGATCCGTTGTATTAATAATAATAAGAGAAATAAGAAAGAGATACAGATTTTATTTTAGAGCTGCCGAATAATAATGATGATGATATGTGATGGTAGTAGAGAATTAAGAAAATGGAGGTTTTGAAAGAGAAAATTATAAAAGAAAAGAGGCTCACGAATTCTCAGAAACGTAGCGCCAGAGTCTTAACTCCACGGACTATGTAGCTATCGGTTATTTTATTATTAATATTATTACTATTATTATATTATTACTATTATTATTATGATTATGATTGATTATTAATATTATTACTTTAATTGTCCTGTTTTTCTTCCCCCTTTTTCTAAGTTGGCATATTTATTTCATTTTGTGTGTATGAGTGTTATTTTTTTTTTCTTCTACTTTTTTTCTATTATTACTATT